ATCTTGTAATATCAGTTCGCACAGCATCAATTTGGTTTTCGAAACAACTAATTTTTGGATGACTTTCGCGAAATTGGCTGGGAGTGAACTACGACCACTTTGATGAACCACCCGTCCCTGATAGAGCTTCATCGCCAAAAATTAATTAAGTTCATCCAGTGTACTCGTTGCTGGAGTTAAATCCACGTCGAAAGTTGTAAAAAACATTCGCACGAAAATGTTCACGATTTAATTCCATTTTTGGGCCAAGATGAATCTTTTAAGTTACTGTAAACAACAAATACAGTGCTCGTATGTCAAAACGTTCTGAGTACGTATAAGCTCAAAATATCCAACTTTACGATAGAGCTCTCAGTCACCAGATTGCAACGTCAGGGTTGCTAAATCCCGAAACATAAAAGGCAACATTCGTACTTACATTTTATCTGCTTTTCGCGAGTTGTGCAAGAATGTTTCGTTATTCCTCTCATTGGCGGGACTAGAGTAAGAGACCACTGTGCAGTACTTTATGAAATAAACAAGAGTCATTATTGGTTATTCTACTATTAATACAATGAGTATGACGAGCATGTCTAAATCCTGGTCTGATGCAAGAATGCTCCCACGACCTAGTAAGTGGCAACATCACTATCCCACCCCCCAGTTGAAAAGAAGACGAAATATTATTCGGACAATATATTTGTTTGATGTGTATCGTTGACGTCTGGGGGACTGAAGTACCATGACCTCTCCTTTGGCTCCTGATTATTGCTAAATAGCCCATTAAATCCTGTCAAACTAAACGTCAAATATTCTAAAAAACACGACAATATTTTCACTAGAATCGTAGTTTGTTCGACACGTCGGGGCTGTTGATGGCCAGGTACACAGAGCGTCGATTGGGAAGCGAAACCGCAGGGGGGCGTGGGGGCGGCTGGGGCGGCGGCGGCGGCGGCAGGGGTCAACAGCCGCGGCGCCCGCAGCGCGCGCCGTGACGCTAACGCGGTGGCCAAGCGATCGAAGCGCTCATCGACACGCTATCGCCCCCGCCACGCCCGCACAATAGGCCCAACCAAAACCAAGGGGGCGTATTCAGTGTGGATTTCGTTTTCCTCTCCTATTGGAACATAAGATCTGGGGCTCCTTCAGAAAGCAGCTGCCAAAACGTATTGCACAGAAAATTCGCGTCACTCTCAATTAACCATTTCTAAACTTCTTAAAACGCTCTGCATATTTTTAAACAAGCCATATTTATTTGAAGTTTTTATTTCAATACGTGGCACCCGTTGTCTTTTTTAGTAATAATATCCCTTTCGGTATTAGATGAATTTCTTTCCGATAATGAAAGGAGTAATCCCTTTCAACATTTTTACTTTCTCGCATACTAGTTACGACTTACAGAGAAAGTTATCTAATTCTGCAGTAAAGGAAAAACAATCGACAGATCTAGTGTTGAACGTCCCTTATACCAAAAAATTGAATAATTCTTGTTCCTATGCAGTAAATTACTTTTTCTACTTTTTGGCCAACGCCCACACCGCGGCGAAAGCACAGGTTCTTGTCAGATCACCGCAGTTAAGCGCTGCCGGGCTCCCCAGTACGGGGTTGGGTGACCGCCCGGGAAAGTGGCGTTGTCATTTATTGTCCGTCTCGAAGACGGGTCTAGCTTTCTGAAAGCAGGGGAGGAAAAGGTGGTAAATTCCAACCAGTCATCCCCCTGGCAGCCCAACTTCATGGGGTACCCAACGCCAGAATCCGGCCAGTGGTGGTTGGAACCTCTGGGGCTATGCCAAGATTTGCAGTCAGTGCCCTCAAGACCCTGGGGATCACGTCTCGAGGCGATCTACTATCTCGTTAATTGCTCTCAGAAGCTCTATTAAACTTTACACACAATTTGTAAATTACGATGGAGCAATTTAGCATTGTTGGAAGTAAATGGAGGGGGGAAAACTTTAATGTCCTGTGGGGAAGTTGGAGGGGGAAAAAACTTCAATGTCCTAGGGAACCCATTGGATCCTAAAATGCCTAGGAATTACTCAGTTACCACGTCTCTAAGTGGGAAGTATATGCTATTTAATGTAGCATATAGAAAATTGTGTAGTCAGAAATCAAGTATTGTGTTAACGATGTTCGTGATTCATAATATTGAAAAATTAGTAAACTGCAACGCGTCCGTAAGTCCGTTTGTGAACATCACTTGCAAAGCGAAGCAAGCAGGATTTTCACTAAAAATCGATATTTGGATTATGTCACAGGCCCTTGAATGGTTTT